TACACACTTGGCTATGTAGTTGTTCTTTAGAATTAACCTGTAAATAAAAATTTCCACTTGATTTTTAAAATTAAATCAATATTACTAATATTTTTGTAAGATGCTATATCCCTTTTCATGCAAATATGATATTCAATAGTTTTTCTATTTACTAATTTATCAGTTTTTATTGAAGACAGGAAATCCAGTTTCATTTTTAAGTTTTCAATGAATAATTCATGCCAATTCTATAAACTTGAGTGTGTTACAGCATTTGGGGTTACCTCTCACCTGGCTCATGTGAATTCTAAAACCAAAATGAATAAAGCAGTGTATTAGTCTGTTCTTTTCTTGTTACTATAATGAAACTTCAGAGGCTGAGTATTCTAAAGAAAAGATGCTGATGTAGCTCACAGTTTTGGAAGCTGAAATTCAAGAATGCATATCATCATCTGATGGCAGGAGCTCCCTTGGCTCCTCACCTCATGGCAAATGACACCCTACAGGGACATACATGCAAAAAGAGGAGCATAGCACCAAATAGGTCTACCTCTTAAAGGCTGACCACCTCCCAACATCCTCACTCTGAGGACCAGGCTCGAACACATCCATACTTTAAGAACAAAGTCAGACCACAGCAAAGGGCAAGTAGGAAGTCTTAAGTAATTTAAAAAGGTCTTGATATTTGTTTACATAAATCCTTTTAACCACAATGTACTCCAGAAGTTTTTATAACTCTGAAGTATTAACTCCTGTTCAGTATATATTATAGTTATATTTTGATGAAAAGACATAGTATTGTGAAAGCATTGAAAACATAAAAAATACTATGTAATCTGAAAGTATCATTATCATCATCATCATCTACATCACAGGAAATATACAGCCTAAAGCAAACAAATTTTTTTAACTTTTATTTAATAAATATAAATTTCCATAGTACAGCTTATGGATTACAGTGGCTTCCCCCCCCCATAATTTCCCTCCCACCTGCAACCCTCCCTTCTCCCGCTCTCTCTCCCATTCGATTCATATCAAGATTCATTTTCAATTATCTTTATATACAGAAAATCAGTTTAGCATATATTAAGTGAAGATTTCAACAGTTTGTACCCACACAGAAACACAAAGTGTAAAGTACTATTTGAGTGCTAGTTATAGCATTAATTCACATCATACAACACATTAAGGACAGAGATCCTACATGGGGAGTAAGTGCATAGTGACTCCTGTTGTTGACTTAACAATTGACACTCTTGTTTATGGCGTCAGTAATCACCCTAGGCTCTTGTCATGAGTTGCCAAGGCTATGGAAGCCTTTTGAGTTTGCTGATCTGATCATATGTAGACAAGGTCATAGTCGAAGTGGAAGTTCTCTCCTCCCTTCAGAGAAAGGTACCTCCTTCTTTGATGGCCCTGTTCTTTCCACTGGGATCTCACTCACGGAGATCTTTCATTTAGTTTTTGTTTGTTTTGTTTTGTTTTGTTTGCCAGAGTGCCTTGGCTTTCCATGCATAAAACACCCTCTTGGGCTCTTCAGCCAGATCCGAGTGCCTTAAGGGCTGATTCTGAGGCCAGAGTGCTATTTAGGACATCTGCCATTCTATGAGTTTGCTGTGTATCCCGCTTCCCATGTTGGATCATTCTCTCCTCTTTAATTCTATCAGTTAATATTAGCAGACACTAGTCTTGTTTATGTGATCCCTTTGACTTTTAATCCTATCATTATGATCAATTGTGAACTGCGATCACTTTGGCTAGTGAAGTGGCATTGCTACATGCCACCTTGATGGGATTGAATTGGAATCCCCTGGCATGTTTCTAACTCTGTCATTTGGGGCAAGTCCGATTGAGCATGTCCTCTATTGTACATCTCCTCCCTCTTATCCCCACTCTTATATTTAACAGGGATCACTTTGCAGTTAAATTTAAACACCTGAGAATAATTGTGTGTTAATTAAAAAGTTCAACCAATTGTATTAAGTAGAACAAAAAAAATACTACAAGGGATAAAGTATTAAGTTGTTCATCAATAGTCAGGACAAGGGCTGAGCAAACAAATTTTTTTAAAAATACATATATCACTTTCACACTTGTTACTCCTGGTGCTGGATGCCTGGAAGATACCTAAGTTTCCCTTATCCTAATGACATGTATACACATGTCTTTGACATGGCTATGCACACAATGCTGCCCATACCAAAGTCAAGCTATTAGTTTTTATTACTAGTGTTCTTCATAATAGCAGCATATTTGTAATTTTTATCCCTTTTCCAAAGTAAGCCATTGCATAATGCTAATTGGATATGACACCCTGTTACCTTCTCCCAAAGACTGTATTTTCTTGGAGACTGGTAATTGGTGTCCTGAGGCTGACCACCAAGAAAGCTACAACTCAGCAGTAGAGGGCTTTGCAGTGTAGTTTAGTTTCCACCAAAGTGAAAACAAAAATGCATGGCCCCTTTATGTTGAAAGGGGACTAGAGGCAAATATTGAATGACCAATGGACCAACATGTTTACTGAGTACCTGTCCTTTGCCTAATGTTGAAGCTGAAAGTTTTAGACTCAGAAGATGAGTATAAAAGATATGAAAAATAACAGAGAATGTAAGATTTTATCTTCATGAGTGAACTTGGTCAGCACAGAAAACAAATACTAAAGAAGCTCAGAAAAAAAGCTAGCTGAAGGCTTCCATAGAAGCTCACAGAAGGAGTTGAACTTGTGCTATGTCCAGATGGGATATCTGGATTAGTGGAAGTCAGGGCAGAAAGTGAGGAAGTGGACCCATACAATAGATGAACCAAGTGGAGAACAGAGGGATCAATGAAAAGCCTTAACATCTTGTCAAAGGAGTTTGGACTCAGTGCAGGTGGAAGTAAAGACTCACTAGAGATTTTGAGTTGGGAATAGCCTGACAATATAAAACAGCTGAAAATACAAAACAGCAATCAGTTTGGGGCTTTCCCATAGGTACAGAGAACTGAGGGATAGGTATGACAGACTGAATATTTTCCACAGTCGCTGAAGTATACCCAGATCTTTGCTGCACAGCCCCCCTCTATAACCCTGTACCCACTGCAGGCTTGTGTCCAAGTCTAAGACATGAGGAAAGACTTGCTGAGGAACACTTTGTTAAAAAGAAAAGAAGTTGTGTATTTTTAATGCCCTGGGGTTATGGTTAATCCCTAAGTTCAGCTCCTATGAACTAACAAAAATTTACAAAAATACTTGTACAAAATGTGAATTAACCTTGAGCAGAACAACTTCTGTCTTTATGAAAGGCTCACTGGTTGAAAACACAGACTTCAGAGCCAAAGTATCTAGGATGGGTCCCCAGATCTACAGCTTACTAGCTGTGTGACCACCTATAAACATCTTGACCCCTCAGCCTCAACTTCCCATTTATAAAGTTTAATTTTTATAGTACCTAATTCATGAGTATATAAGTTGAATTGGTAAAGAATTTGAAAAACTGAGAATTGAACATAGAATTACTATGTAAGTATATGTTAACCATGAATAAAAATCAATTCTAAACATGGATTAAAGCAGAATTTTCCAAGTATTAAGGTATCAAAGGGCTTTGTTTGGTTAACCCACAGAGAGATGGACTTGTGTTATAAGAATATATCTCAATGGGGATAGATGGAGGGAATGATGCAGATTTCAGCCTCCAGGGACATTTCTCAATGCTTAGAAACATATTTAGTTGTCACATTTGTGGGGCAGAGACATGGGGCAAAGGGAAGCACTGTCATCTAGTGGATTGAGACTAGGGAAGCTACTAGTCATCCTGAAATACACAATGCAGTTCCCACATAGCAGAGAATTTCCTGCCCAGAGTGTTAACAATGTCAGTGTTCAGGAACCATGGATTACAATAGGCACCAGTTGCCATTCATTAAGAACAAGATGTCTTTAGGAAAACTGGTATCACAGAGTAGGAACAAAAAGAAAGTCCTGAATCCATCCTCTAGTGGACTTTTCAGCATCCCTCTGGAACCTATTTTCCAGCTATTATTAATGATTAAGATTTCCTATTGCAGACTTTAAATCATGCTGTGGTAAACAAGCAGTGAACACTGGTGCAGTGTTGTCAATTCAATCCAGCACTAGGTGCTGGCATCTTCAGGACACCCATCTTGGCATCAAATAGAGTATGTTGTAGAGAGGAGAAAGGATTCCTTCTTTTAGAGGGCATCTTCTTAAGGTGAGGAACCAAGAGTAACACTTAGGGAACTTCATACAACTGTGTGTGACCAGGATTGAGAACAAAACCTGAGACCATGAGTCCCTGGCTGGGCCTTGAAAGGAGAACTGAGTGTAGCTGCAGCTTTTGTGAAGGTTTCGGAGAGGTGATCGGGCCCCAGCTGGGTTTGAGATGTGAATGGTATTTTGATGGATGAGGAAGGTGTTCTTAGCAAAAGTGTGTGGTGGGCATATTCATGTATCTACAGGACAGTGAAGAATTCTTTCTGGAGGGACTAGCCAGGGGTTCAAGTTAATGGCAAGCTTGGTGAGAATAAGAACTAAATTTGGATACATAAGGAGTCAATGAGGGCACTTAGATGCCTTCCTGAAAGATGGTGAAATACATGTTCAAGTTATTTATGAATGCAAACAACAAAAGGAAAAAGCCACTTAAAGACACTAGGCTGTATCAGCAGGACGGTAGATGTCAGCAAGGAAAGAATAGGGACAAATCTTGTTTCTTGCTCTTGTTATGAGGTGAGGAAAAGGGCCTTCTGCCCTGGAGACCAATGCATAAAGCACAGGCTGCTAAATCAGTTGTGCTCCCTGGGAAAGGTGTTGTTTAACCTAGCAACAGTTTTAAGTTTATACACATTTGCATGCCAAGATGTGCTACCACACAGTGCCATTTACAAACAGTACCATGAGCCCAGCCTTTAGCTTAGGGTGGGTACTCATGTTTATTTAGCTATCTGGGTTTCTTTCTCTTTTTTTTCTTTTGGTTACTAAATTATACATGTAAATCAATATGTATCTTGAATTTACATACCAAATGCAAATGGTGCGACTGTCACTTTTTCTCTTGTTCCATATTTGTTCTCTGCAGAATGAATACCATATGCACCTTCAGTGAATCACTCTGGGCCTTTGCCCCTCTTGCTTCTCAGAAAATCCTCATGGATGAAGTGTGGAGAAGAGTTCTGCGGGGGCATTTTCAACAGCCAAGCAGTGGGACTTTACTGCACAAAGCCTAACGAGAGATTCAGAATCAGACAGCTAATGAAGCATGGCCGTGATCTGACAATAGGGGCTGTGGTAGCTGCTGCAATCTGCGGAATGGATGTCTTAGTTAAAGATATTAAGTTTAAAAACCGACCTACTGGGAAGTCAGCAACAGGAGAAGACTAAGGGGCCCGAGAGCTATTCTCTGGTTGCTGTTCCCATAAGCTCATGGGCCAGCAAGCAAAGTGTCAGATAACTGTACACAAAAAGATTGCTCCATCTGTGTATCAGCTGCCATTGCTTCATTTTTCTAGTCTGATCCACATTCTTTAAAGGACCCATGACACTATCAGCCTGCTCCTCATGGCACAGGAGCCTTCTTTCCACTATCCAATCTAACAACATGGACATTTGAATATCAGAGCCCATTTTCCCTCCTGATTGCTCCACTTAGTGGCTCTGAGCTAAGCTGCACCAAGAAATCATCTGTAGACTATCCTGCCCCCTCATTCATGAAAAAGAGCCAAATATACTCTGAAACATCATTTCCGGAGATATTTTGAAGTGGAAAAGAAAATTAGCTTTCTCCTGTTGCCCCATTCTAATTCTACCTCTACAATTCCACCCTGCTATTTCTGACATTGCCTTTCCCCATGTAAAATAATTTTAACTATTAACTGCATAAAATGGGCAAGATTAATGCTGAAGATTTTTTAAAACCAAATTTGAGTTTGATCCTTTTCACCAAATCACATTGCATTTTTTTGCCAGTTCAGTACAGTTTCCCATTAAGACCTATCATATTCAATCAAGATACTCAAATCTTATGGTTCAACTTTCCTGAAATTCAGTGCTCTTCTCTCCTTCTCAATGAACTTTGCTAACCACATGCATAAAATTGTCATTCAACCTTAGGTGCAACAAATGGATGCATTTCAAGTCTTTCATATCTAAGACAGGAGCAATAAGACCTTAATCATTTCCAAATGGAAACAAAGTTCTCCGATCGCTGACAGCCGTGCTGTGTCAGCCGAATAGATTCTCCTGTCATCCCATCCAACTGATGGAAAGAGCTCTACTCCTTTCTTTGTGACCCTTCCCCACTCCTCACCTATTGAAGGGATGCTTTGGGAATCCAATTATATTTGAAGTGCAATAGCTAATTTCAAAGACTGAAGCATTTCATAATTCTTACCACTACCTTCAAAGATGAGAGTTAATGCTCAGAATACCCTAAAATAACTTGAGCTATGTTTATTTAATTTACTTCCTGCATACCCACATGCACATATATCACTTTGTGTGTGTGTGCTAGCAGAGAAAGCAAACCAATGTACACTGTAATGGAACCACTAATGAGCTGATGCTATCTACTGGCCTCTTTAAAATGCTGTTCCTTTCCTGTTTTGCATTTGCTGGGTTATAATTTTAAATTACGTATGCATCTCCATCTCTCCTCCTCACCCCCTCCTCTCCAGTGCTTTCTCTCTCTCTTTCTTCCTGTCTGTAATCCAAGAATTGCATTGCCTTAGCAACCAAGAGATTCACATTTTTATGCACACACACACACGTGTGTGTGTATGTGATTGAGCACAGGATGACCACACTTTAAGATCACCTAATTTTAGATTTTAGGTTGAAAAAAAGGCATGTTTCTGCACAAATCGTCCTTCCAGCATAGTTTCTTATACATTTATCCTCTGTTTCCCCTCTTCCTCTCTCAAGCTTCAATTTCTTGACATTTAACTTTTTTTTACTATTTCCTGTGAATTATTTGTTTCCTAAAAGATAGATTTTTGTTTGTTGGCCTGTATGCTTTTTTAAATTAATCTTCAATGTTTGATGAAGGAACATGGATGCAGCTTCCTAATCTGGAAAGAAGACTCGATGATGATTGAGGAGAAAGAATGATATGTTATGGCAAGGATGATCAAAGGACCAGATTCCCCAAGACATGGTTGAGTTTCAACTACTGTCCACTATAATTATTAGCAGACTCTTTACTCTCAGCATTTTCCTAACTTAAGCCATAAATTATATGGTCATCATCAGGCCCGCACTTATGTACAGTTTAATTAGAATTGCTAATGAAATATGCTTTCTGAAAAAATAGAGAGCACAAAGGTGAAGAAACCAAATCTTCATAGGAACGGGAAGAACATTTCAGAAATCTCAACTGTAGCCTGATTTGTAGAGCAAATCAATTCACAAGCCCATAACCCAACGCCTTCCCTTGCTAACATCATCTTTAACTTCTTCCAAGCATTCCCCATATGCACAGAATCTTCATGTTGATCCCTACCTTTCCTACTCTACCTCCAACTTTTCTACTTATAACCTAACCATAGTCTACCAGAATATAGTAAAAAATCTTTGGATCTAACTCAAATATAAAATAGTGTGAGGGACTCATCCAAATTCATAGTTCTGGTAAATGACAGAATGAGGATTTGGACCTAAGACTCTAGACCCCAGGTTTCATAGTTGTTCTAACAACTTACGAGTGCTTACCTTAGGTGAGCTCTTCCAGGCTATAATCCATTAACATGGTGGCTTCCCCTCTCATACTTGTTCTCCACTGTGTTAACAAAGGTGCACTACTTGTCACGGTGTGAATCTCAGCCAAGAGTGTGTGTGTGTGTGTGTGTGTGTGTGTGTGGAGAGAGAGGAGAGAGAGGGGGAAAGAAGAGAGAGAGAGAGAGGAGAGAGGAAAAAGAGAGAGAGAGAGAGAGAGAGATTGTATAGCTATAACCCTGCAGGAATCAGAATGCAGAATGTAGGAAGTGTCTGTTGGGATAAACAGAATATTCATTCTTCAAGATCCAGGTCACACCTACTCTGATCCAGCTCACACCTACTCCATGCAGCTTGCCATTCAGCCCACAGAAAATACATTCCCATTTAACAAAAAGCAGTCTTCGCCTATATTTGTTATTTGGCAGTGAACACAGGGGTCTAGTAACTTTTCTTATCTTTCATTATCTTTGTGAGACTTCCCAATTGGACTATGAGATCCTCAAGAGGGTTACCCTCTTGGTGCTTAACAACGGCTGGGCATACAAAAGTAGTTGAATGGGTTTTCACTGATGGGCACTGGGATGAGCCAATAGCATGAGACTCTGAAGTTGACTTTTGTAAAGTTTATGATGACATTATGAAGTTTACTTTTGTAAATTCATAATGGCCTCAAGAAAATGGCATTGTCACCCAATTCAGCTTTTTTGACAGTAATCTAATACGTAAAATACCTTTTGGACACTCAACACTAGGAAATTCATCAACTGTGGGAGGTAGGCAGGGTTTCACAGATTGTCCAACTCAAATGCCTGCTTTGCAGATAAAAACCAGACTGAAGTGACTCTCTCAAGGTCACACCATTGGTTGGTGGCATGACTGGATCCTAGAATGTGTTCTGACGTCCTTCCACTCCTGCCTTCACCCTGTGAGCTGTGCCCAGCCTTCACAAAAGACTCTCAGAGGCAGAATATCAATTTCCTAGTCAGAGGATTTTTTGATTTGGCCATGAAATAGAGGCTTGCGCTCCCTCAATATCATTTCTTGGCTTTTTTTCTTATAATTTTAGGATTTTTTCCCCAAAGTCATCTCCAGACCTGTAATCTCCCCAACTGCTTGTCCACAATCACTCTGTGCTCTCCACAGGAGGGAATCATCTATGGAGTGGCTGCCAAAATCAAGAGTGCTCTCCACATCACACCTCTGCCGGATGGAGATCCAGTTGCACTTTTCCACTCTTCACTGCTCTTTTGGATTCTGACCACGTCTTTCCCCGGACACATGAGTGTCACTCAGCATTGCCTCTGTGTGCAGTCTGCTTCTGCCTTCACCCCCTCCCTCCTTATTCCTTCTTCACTTCCTCTGCCCCTTAGGCAGACACTTCTACTTCGAGGCACCAAATCCCATCTGGCTCCAGGCTTTACACAGCAAATTCTTCCTCCCCAGTCCTTGACTTTACAGACTCCCATGACTGCACCCTGCCCAGAAGCTGCTTGGCTCTTTCTTTTTAAAAAATTAATTAATTTGGTTAGTTTTTAAGGTGAACAAATATCATATATACAGATTTAGGAGCATAGTGATACTTAGCACCTGACACCCTCCCACTACCCCACACACTGCCACTCTCTCTTCTTTCTTATTCTTTCTTTTAATTTTTACAATGATCAGCTTCCAGTTTATTTTATACTCATAAGGTTAACCCTACAGTAAGCACAGAATTCAATAAATAGTAAGCAGAAAATAACACTGTTCCTCAACAGTAGAGACAAGGGCTGTAAACAATTTATTCTAAGACTCAAGGCTAAAAAGCTCCTTTCTTTCCAGGAAATCTCTTTTGAAAAATTAAATAGGATATCTGACTTTTTATTTTCTGCTTATTTGCTTTATAAAACACATGGTAAATATTATGCTATTCTGACGTACAATTTAGAATCCATTCCTTATAGTATATGTGGTTAGTTTTTATAAAAACTATTTGGATTATCCATTGAGGGGTCTGTATCACAACCCTGTATTACAATATTATACTCAAGGCAGAATCAGATTAAATTTTGACTCACGATGCCTCAGGAATATGGTTTGCATACAGCTTTTATTTTCTGTAAAATATGCTATTGCAGCACAAAAATTCTGACAAGAGCCAGCACTCTAGGCAAGGTGAGATAGGAAATTTAAAAGTTAAAGAGAAACAGAAAACAAAGCTGTGTCTTATTAAAGAGAAAGAGAAGGGAGCTAAGGAGAGAGACTTTTAAAGTTAGCCATTCATTATTAGAAAGAGAAAGTAGAAAGATACTATCTTTTACAAGGCACCCAGTCTGTCTTCACAAGGCCCCGGGTGTTCTTCTCAATCCTTGGAGGCCTCCAGCCCTGCATGCCATTCCCACACTCTGTCTGGCGTTAGCTGTGACGCCTTCACATCAAGCCTTGCTATTCCTTCGGCTTATTCAGTCAGCATCATGCCAATCTCTCCCTTCGTCCTCTGAAGCTGCATCCCCAAACCCTGATTTCACCCCAATTTTAATGCCATAGGTTTTCTGAAACCTGAGTCAAAAGCCCTTTCTGCCTTCTTCCTTCCTTATCACTATGGCAGAGCTTTACCTACCTGCTGGGACTTTTTAGCAGTTGTTGCTGGCTTGCTAGCAAGGAGATGACATCAGTGTGGGTGGCCTATTTAAAATAACACTCTGCCTCTTGGTCTAGTCACTCAGCTGTGCAGGCATCACATCAGTGCTGTCTTGGTCCTTGGACCACCTGTCTGTATACCTGCTACACCTTGCTTTAGGAATGAGGAGATTTTAGCACAAAGGAAATTGACCTCAAGGAACTGACAGTTCCCTGAGGCACAGAAAAGTCATATATACAAGGAAGGAAAGAAAGAATACAAAGTAGAAAGCATTCACTGCTACGGTGTGGATATGTTAGGGTATGTTTTGAATGTGGGATGCTATATCTTAGCTCACCCCCTTGCTTCTGCTCTCTGACACATGTGCTCCTTCCGCATGTACAGCTTATCTACAGTACTGTGCTGCTCTCAGGGGGCCCCCACTGGACACAATAGCCTTATTGTTTGGAATTTCGAAGCCCCAGAATTATAAGTCAAATAAACTTATTTTCTTTATAAAATGCCCAGCCCCATGCATTCTGTTGAAGTAACACAGGAGGACAAACTGAGACAGGGATTTAGGGTGAGTACAGAACAGCAGATTCTGAGCATGGAAAAAGGAGCTAGCCCTCTTCAGTAGATGGCACAAAGGGCTTCGTTGAGAGGTGGGGGTGTCAGGGTTACTGGTTTTCAGAACAGGAAACACGCTCTTCTGCTGAGACAGTAAGGAGAGACCTAGTGCAATGCCCTCAGCTACAGCCTTCTTCCCTGTGCCACCTGGCAGTTGTAAGAAAGCTACAAAGCGACCACAGCCAAGTACAGTCAGAAGGAGGTTTGAGGGTTAATGAGTTTTGTTAGCATGTTGCTTTAATTGCTGTCGTTATTTCTGTACATACGCCTAGAGGCTTGCAGTGAATGCATTTTATTATTAATATTAAGCATTTTGTACCGCACTTTCTGTTTGCAAAGTGCTTTACCACCATTAATTAGTTATTCCTCCTGACACCCTGGCGAGGTGATCCAGGCCTCATTCACTCCCCTGCTCGGTTATAAATGACAGCCCCTGTGTGTTAAGGTTAAATGACTCGGCCAAGGTCGCCAGACCCATCAGGGAAAGGGTAGGATTAGCAATCTCTGTCTTCCTTCAGGCTGGGGCTGATGTTGAATCCAGCAGCTTTCCTGGACAGTTCTCATAAATGATACCATAAATAAATAAATGAAGCTAGAGGCTGTAAAAAAAAAATCTTCCTAGGCCTCAGTGCTAAGATCTGGGAACACCATAGCCACAGTGGCAGGGATTAGAAATTGCTGAGTGCAGACCAAAACCACGCTCCAGCAATAACATAACCTTCCACCAGGCTTAACGTGTCCTCCTGGAGACCCTCACTGTCCTTGTTCTGACTCCGTTGAGTCCTCTTCCTTTGTACATTTCTTTTTAACTCTGAAGGCATTTACTGCCCAAAAGGGCTCTGAGATGTATAATAACGTGGTGATGCCTGGAAGAGCACCGTGTCAATTTAATTTGAACCAATTTGACAAGTCTGATACACTTTCAGGACAGCAGCCCACCACCAGCCGACACAAGGCTTCTCTTGTTAGGTTCTTACCCTCACTCTTTCTCCTAGAAGTAATTACCTTAGATCAAGAGACCGATTGTAAACGTGTTATGTTTTGCTGACAATACAAAGCTGGGGAGAAACAGGAACTTCAGTTTGAGAGGCACGGAAAATGCAACACGATGTGCTTCCCTCTCTAGGCTGCTATGCGGCAAATAAAATTCCATATTGACAAACGCACACTGATGCCATTGGCCTGGGAGTGGGGCAAACAGGGAAAATGCTGACCTGCAGAAGGAGCGTTTGCTGAAAGTGCTTCTAGGCTGTCCTGCAGGAAAATTCAAAGGCAATCATCGAAGCCAAGAGCTCTGGGGGCTGTCTTTTTATTTTAAAAATAATGTGTTAACTCAGGAAAGAGTCTCCCCTCCACACACACTTCTTTTCCTCCACCTGCCCACGCCCACTCTCTGGCACTTCTGCCAATTGGAGTAGGTCCTAAAACATTTTCCAGGCATTAGTGATCAAAGCCAACATCCTGTAAGGAAATAGAGATTTTTCTAAAAACAGGAGTAACCGATTTAAATCCGCTGATGGCAGATGTTTTTAAAAAGAAAAACCTGTTTTGCCTCCATTTGGGAAGGACAAGCCCAGCTCTGATTTATGCTCATTACTCTCGCAACCTTCCCTTCCGATGTGTGAGGGGATCATGATTGTTCAGTTCGTGTCACGCATTTCTCACTTCCATTTTGATGATATTTCCAGAAAAATGTCACAGGACCAGATGGCCCACCTTCCCCCGCAACTCCCAAAGTTAGCTTTACCTTCAACGAGGAGAAAACACCATGCATGGTTTGGCACATACTTCACAAGATTTCCTTTTTTGGTTTGTTTACTTGTTTGAAGCAATCTCCCATGTGCTAAAATGAGCACACACTAAGGATCCATTGCTTGGCTAAGTGCTGGGTAGTTGAGATGGCCATCTATGAGTGGACCCAAGAGGGAAGGGCATCAAGCTATGTTTTCAGGACACCTATCTTCGAGGTGAGAAAAAAAATACGGTCTTAAAAATAACAACTCTACT